GGCAAAAAGAGACTTTTAAATAAATAGTATTGGGACTAGATAGCCATTTAGAAAAAGATATTGTAATAAGTCCACATTTTACATCATATGCAAGATAACCTGGGTGTAGGAGAAGGCTTTCAAACTCTGCTTCAAAATCCAGATGCAATAAAGAAAAAGACTAATAAATTTGACAACCTTAACAACAACAACAACAACTTTCGCATGACCAAAAATACCATAAGCAGAGTTGAAAGGCAAATGCAAACTGGGAAAAAAAGTTTATAACACGTATCACAGATAAAAGGCTATCCCTGTTAATATATAGAGAACTTTAAAACATTGAGGAAAAAAAAGACCAAAAATCGAATAGAAAAATGGGCAAAAGGTATTAACAGACATTCAAAAAAATTATATAAAAATGGCCTTTAAACATATGTAAAGATATTCAACTTTACTTTTATGAGAAATGCAAATTAAAACCACACTGAGATTCGTTTTCTCATTTATTAGCCTGGCAACAATTCGAAAGGTTGACAATATATTCTTTTGGAGAGGCTGTGAGGGAACAGTCACCCTGATATACTTCTGGTCAGAATGGTTTAATCCCTACAGAGGGGAATTTGGTGATATTTAACAAAATTACATATGCAGTTAATCTTTGGCCCTGCAATCTCATTTCTAGGAATTTATCCTGAAGATAAACCTCCAACAATACTGAAATATTCATACACAAGGCTATCGATTGCAGCATTATTTGTAATGGCAAAATACTGAACACTATTTAAATGCTCAGACATAGGAGACTGATTGCAACAAACTGGTACATCCACATAAGGAGAACAAAGCAGCTGTGAAGAGAGAACAAGGAAGACTTTTATGAACTATGATCTCTATGAATGAATTCCAGAATACATTAAGTAAAAGGCAAAGTGCAACAGAGAATATATAGAACGCTACCTTCTGTGTAGGAAAGAAATGGAAATAAGAAAACATACATACATCTGCTTAATTTGCAAAAGTAAACACAGGAAGGATAAACCAGACTATAAAGCACCAAAATAATAAATGGCAACAAAGGACTATAATCCACTGACTAGAATAAGAGTCTATGAGTCCATAATGCTAATTAATCAATCAATCAATCAATCAAAACAAGGAAAATTCTTCTGTACAGCAATGCAGATAGAAAAATGGAGTTGTTTTTTTTAAATCACCATTTTGCAACCATCATAGTAAGAACTGCTAAAATATGTGAGTGACAGTTTGATGAGGAACAGGATATTGACATGAATTCAAAGCATCTCTCCCTAAAAGTTCTAATTACAAAAGGGAAAATAAAAACTTAACTAAGTGATTTAAGTTAACAATCAGTAACGAAACAAATAGACATCACATACCTCCTGATGTGATGCACTGAGAAGGACAAAATATCACTTACGTAGTATTCCTGTCAAAATGTATAACCTGAAGCTATGCATGAGGAAACATCAGACAAATTCAGCCTGAGGGACATTCTACAATGTAACCGGCCTATACTCTTGAAGGTGGAGAGAAGTGCTCCAGATTATCAAGAACTCAAAAGACATGACAACTAAATGCAATGCATGATCCTGCTCTGGATCCTGGACTGGAAAAAAATTGTTATAAAAGACAATACTGAGACAATTGGTGAAACTGGAATCTGGACTATGAATTAGATAATAATACTTTTATCAATGTTAAATTTCCTGAATTTGATACCTGAACTGTGGTAAGAGAATTATATATAAAAGAATGTCCTTGGTTTTAGAAAATACACACTGAAGTGTTCAGAAATAAAGGAATATGATGAATGCAATATACTCTCAAATTGTTCAGAGAAAAGTACATAACAAGGAGAGAATGATAGCAAATGTGGCAAAATATTAACAACTGGTGAATCTGGGTAAAGGTTACATGAAACTTTTCTCTTTTTCTTACTATTTCTTATAAATTTGAATTTTCAAATAAAGTTAAAAAATTATTTTTTCAATCTGATACGTTAAAAAATTGTATCTTGTTTTGACGTATGTTTCTTTAATTACGTGTAAGGGTAGACTTTCATAAGTTTATTTTACATTTGAATATCTCTTTTTTACACATTGCTTATTCATATCCTTTGCCTACTTTTCTGTTGTGTTTTTCATGGTTTTTCACATTGAATTTGTATTAGTTTTATGGGAATTAGTGTTTTTTCTGTCATGTATGCTCCAAATAGGTTTTCTGAGTTTGGCACTGATTTTTTCATTTAGTTTATGGTGCTTTTTTTGTTGTTGTCATACAGAACAAAAATTTTTATTTTTATGCAATCAAATTTATTAATCTTTATGGCTTCTGGGTTGTATCCTGCTTAGAAAGGCCATTTTTACCCCCAGCCTACTAATGTTATCTTCTAGAACTTGTAGTATTTCCTTTTTTTAGGTTTAACTTATTTATCCATTGGGAATTTCATCTGTTTAAAGAGTTTATTTTTTCGCCCAAATCACCAGTTTTCCTAATTACATTTATTAAACAATTCCACTTTCCTTCCGTGATTTGAAACATCTACGTCCGGACTCTTTTCAGCTCCACTGATGTGTTCCTTTCTAGTACCAAGATGTTTGTAATGTTTTAATATATCTTAAAGCCAATGGCTCCAATATTAATTTTCAGAAACTTCCTGGCTATTCTAGCATATCCTCTTCTCTTTTCTCTAGTTATTCCTAGTTTCCTTTGCCAGTTGCTCTTGCTCTTTTACTAACTATCCTTCAATATTGGAAAAATTTGTAAGGCTCTTCTCTCTCCACGAGGTGATCTCATTGGCATTGATTTTTTTACCTTGTTTATGGTGCTTTTTTGTTATAAAAAAGTTTTAAAATTTTTATGCAATCAAATTTATCAATCTTTTCTTTTATGGCTTCTGGGTTAAATCTTGCTGAAAAAGGATGAAGCCATAGTCTAATTACTATGACTTAATTACTATGCTGATGACTCCTAAAGTTTAATCTCAGCCTAACCTCTCTTCTAAGATACAGACTCATATAAACAGTGGCCTACTCAATATCTCTATTTAGATATCTCACAGGCATCTCAAACAGAATACATCTAGAACAGAACTCATGATCTTACCTCCTCAAACTGTTCCCCTCTCCAGTGCATTTGTAGTACAAATTCCCAGAAATGGGATTGCTGAGTCAGTGTGTGCAAAAAGTGTGTAATTTTGAGAGATGCTGCCAAATCTCCTTTCAAAGGGGTTGTATCAATTTATACTCACACTAGTAATATAGCTATTTCTCCATGGCCTTGTCAACAGGGTGTGCAATCAAATTTCTGGACATTTGTAATTTGATAGGTTATAAATTTGTAACCTGATAGATTAAAAAATAGTACTTTGGAGGGGCTGGCCCGGTGGCGTAGTGGTTAAGTTCGTGCGTTCCCAGGGTTTGCAGGTTCGGATCCTAGGCGCGGACCTATACACCGCTCATCAAGCCATGCTGTGGCAGTGCCCCATGTATAAAATAGAGGAAGGTGGGCATGGAGCTCAGGGCCAATATTCCTCAGCAAAAAAGAGGAAGACTGGCAGGGCCAATCTCCCTCACACACACACACACACATACACACACACACACACAAAAATAGTACTTTGGTATAGTTTTAATTTGTGTTTTAGTAATTATGAACATCTTGAGCAGATTTTCATACATTTAAGGGCAATCTGAATTTCTTGTTTACTGCCCTTTTTTCTGTTAGGCTATTGGTCTAGGTTATTGACCAGAAGGAGCTCTTGGTTTATTAAGGAGATTACTGTCTGTGATGTGAGTTGCAAATATTTTCCCCCAGTTTGTCTTTGACTTTTGTCTTATTACTGTTGTTTTGTTTCACCATGCAGAAATTTTTTATTTTTATGTAGTCAAATCTATCAATAGTTTCTTCTATGCCTTCTGGTTTGGTCAATTAGAAAGGCCTTCTTTGCTTTAGGATTGTAAAGGAATTGCTCTGTGTCATCTTCTAATATTTTCACAGTTTCATTTTGTATTTTTAAATCTTTGATCCATTGGAGCTTATCCTGGTGGACAGAAGAGTGATATTAAAGTGTAAAATGGACCATGTCCTTCCTTGGCGTAAAACGCTTTAATGGTTTTCTATTGCTTGTAAGATTAAATTTCAAATTCTTAAGATGGTCTATTACCTCCAGCGTCATCTGGCTCTGTTCTTTCTGTAAAATCACTGTGTAACATCCTCCCTTTTGCTCTCTGGATCTCACTGGCTTTCTTTTAATTCCTCAAATTAGTTATGTTTCTTCATGTCTTAGAATTTTGCATAAGCTGTTCCAGAACCAAAGTTAAATTTTTCTGTAATACACTGTTAAATCATCCAGGGCTGCTTCTTTGTAGCACCTATTAAGTGTGATTATGCATTCAATGGCTATCTTCCCGGCTAGATTATAAACTCCACGAGAATAGACACTCTAGGCATCTTGTTCACTATTGTAGCCTCTGTTCCCAAGCATAGTGGCTGAAACACAGTAGCTTTACAAATATTTATTAAATGAATGAATAAATGAAAAATTACAGGATTAATGAAAAATTCTTTTGATAATATCTAATCTTATTTTTTCTGATTATTAGTTTACCAAATAACCTCTAATCTATAATTCTAATGAACAATCCATATAATCAGGAAGGAAATGCTTCATGCAAATGACTGATACCAGGTATGCTATCAGACACAGATCTCCTTATGAATTTAATAAACTGTATTCTGTCTTACAAACTAGCTTTTTATGAATATGGCTAGGGAGAATCAATCCCTAAACTTTAACTTCTGCTGATAGAACACAAAATTGGCCTCTAAAACAAAAACCAGGCTTAGAATTTATAACAATTTATTTCTTTGATATTATGAGTTAGAATCAGAAATAAATACCCAACCAGGTTTGTGTTAGTTAGCAGATTGTGAACCCATATTGCTCTCCTGACAAATAGGTTAAGAATGCATTCAGACCACCAGGTACAACTTACCTCTTGAAAGTTATGTTGAGTGAACTTGTCTGCTATCCTTAGCAACTCACGACATGAATGTGTGTCAGCAAAAGCCCGAATGCCCAGGCAATTAGAAGGATCTAACTGTCTCTTTAAGAATTCACAGCAGGCTTCCTGTATTTCTGCCAGCTGGAGGAGGCAAGCAGCTGGCAGAAGGGTCTGAACATTGCCCTCTTCCACAGTTATCTGGGAGGTATACGCAAAGTCAATCAGTAGTTCCATAGCCCTCTCATCTATGTCTCGGATCACTACTTCTGTCTGACGGCTCTCTGCCAATTCTCCTGTAAACATAGCTCGGAAGTAGGGACTACAGGCTGACAAAATGACTCGATGGGCATAGATCTTCTTAGCGCCCACAACTAGCACCACATCGCATAGCTCCCGGTGCTTTCTTAGAAGGTTAATCACTTCCAAGGTTTGTCGAGGGTGCTTGTCTGAGATATAGGGCATGCGGGCAGGTTGGGGAACCCCTTCTGGCAGTTTGTTGGGGTCTCCAAGGGTGCAGCGGCTTGTTACATCCATTCCAGTCTCTCCTGGTCGAATGTTGGTACACCTACAGAATGGGGGCAGGGGAGAGAAGAGAAGATGGCAATATTATTAGAAACTCACTCCTGCCATCAAGTGTTCATCATAAGTCAAGAGATGTGGAAACCTACAGGTAACCAAAAGAGAGAACTAGGCCCCCAAAGAGCTCCCTTTCTAAGAACTCTAGAACACATAAACTTTCTTAAAGTCTCTCAAAGAATGAACAGTATGAATTCTGAGTCAGAGCACTTTCACTATGCACTCCCATAAAATAAAGGACAATTCTTTTTTCATCTCAGAAATAGACTAGACTGTCTTAGGCTACATCTTTTATAATTGCCTGCAATACATTAATATGAATTTATAAAAAACATTTGTAAATCATTCTCTCTCTGCGCAAAACAGACCTATGGACTTTAATTCCTTAATCTAGCTTAACCAAAATCTTGATATTTATTATTTTTCTAAAACACAGAAATGTTTATTTCTCATTATCACTGGGTGATATTTTAAATTTCTCTAAGGTTCAGCACAAAAATCTATAAAATATAGCTCATGTTGCATGAAAAGTTCAGAAGGAAAATAGGCCAGGGTCCAAAAAATTAACTTTATATGTAGTACTATTTTTCCTTCATTCTAAGATGCATAGTTTTCAGTTTACAGAGTCAATCACAATGGTTCTAAAGAAGTAAAAAACAAAACAAAACTAAACTAAAAAAAAGGAAAGAAAAAATTCACAAGCACAGGTTACAAAAAGTACTGTGTCACTGGGATGCTATGGATAATTGCTGACGGCTAGACATAATTCAGAGGATCCTTTAGTCTGTGAGAGAAGAAAGCTTAGAATCAAACTTTGTGATATTGAAGAAAACTGAGGTATTAATTATGTGGATAAATATGTGCTATACTGTCAGTAAGAAAAGCTTTGCATACGTTTAATGCAATATTTACATTTGTAAAAAGTTGTTATTAAATCAACTGTGTGTTTTATGAGTGTGGAAATATAGTAAATAATTCTGTGGTTAATCACATTAGTTTCTTCCTAAAAAGGGAAAGAATCAAATCAAATATTTTAGAAGCCATTCATAGAGAGAAATGAAGAATGAAACTACTTCTCCTGCATAAGTTGGACTAAGTCAAACCAAAGATGCCTTAAAACATTTACAGCATCTTAAATTAAGATTTCTTTTCTTGGGCCGGCCCCGTGGCTTAGTGGTTAAATGCGTGCGCTCCGCTACTGGCAGCCCGGGTTCGGACCCCAGGCCCGCACCGACGCACCGCTTCTCCAGCCATGCTGAGGCCCCGTCCCACATACGGCAATTGGAAGGATGTGCAACTATAACATACAACTATCTACTGGGGCTTTGGGGAAAAAAAAAAAAAGGAGGAGGATTGGCAATGGATGTTAGCTCAGAGCCGGTCTTCCTCAGCAAAAAGACGAGGGATTAGCATGGATGTTAGCTCAGGGCTGATCTTCCTCAAAAAAAAAAAAAAAAATTTTTTTTCTTTTCTTTTTTTCCCCCAAGTCTAATAGTTCTGACAGTTGGGTACTACGGCTATTCTGTTTTATAATTTTTATATTTATTTGAGTCTTTACAGCTATAGCTACCATAAAGTTTCAAAGCACTCTCTGGAATCAGATGGATGTGGATTGGAATCCTAGTACTGACAATTACTGGACAAGTTACTTTTCCTCTCTAATCCTGAGTTTCTTTAGTTCTAAAATGGGTAAGTATCTACCTAAGGCAAGGAGTAAAGGAGATAATGTAGATACAAGCTTTGAGTTCAGTGCTTGCTACATATTAACCATTTTAAATTGTAGCTATTGTAGTAACAGAACTTATCTACATTCCTTTCAGATAAGGTGGTTATGCTTATTCATATTAAAAATCCAACCTAAGTTAATGTGTTTCAATTAATATTTAAGTGAATTTTGAATTAATGATAATTCAGCAAGTCTGGATTGAAGTTTATTTTTACTTAGAAATCCTTTTGTCACAGTGTATGAACATTAAAGTGGTAAAGAAAATGGCAGGTGAAATATTTATGTATTTAGCAGGACTCTTAAGAGCCTCCAGACAAAGATTTTGTTAGACTAATTTGGGGCTAGAGATATTAAATGTGACAATAAGCCTCATTGGTTTAAAAATGCTACATATGTGTCCAATTGCTCCTGCCAAATCAGAATCAACGAATTTTTACTATAATCATAAAAGAAATGTAGAGATCCATATAGACATTCCTCACTTTACAAACTAATATCTTTCTAAAAGTTTAATTTTATATTGGCTGTTTGGAGGTTTGTATTTTTCTATAGTAACAGTGCTGTAAATGGGGGCTAGGTTTAGTTGTAAAATCAATTCAGTCATCACAAGAAGCACTAAAAAATGAAACAGAAGAAAAAATATTGGCATACATTCCATTTAGTTAAGTATGTTTCAATTGTGTATATGTTTGTACACATATAAATTCATATATATTTGTATAATTGGGTCCCTTCGTAAGCTGTAGGTTATAGCAAAAACGTTTAAAAGACAGTGACATAGTGTTCTGACCTGAGTTTTGAAGTCCCAAGCCACAAGGGTCAAGAGCTATAAGGAGAAGGAAAAGAACATCTCTCATTTTGGGACTGCTCTAAGATTTCTAGTTGCTGTTGTTTTGGTGGCTTTTGGGAGGGGTGATGGCTGGAGCTTAGGGAGCTACCTGTATATATAGATTTAGGAAGTCTGTAATTTGGGCATTTCCTGTATATTTAAGTACGTGTTACCCGAACTGTGGTAAAGGACATACTCTTGAGAGGCTGTAAGAATTATTTTCCTTTAGAAAGGGAGATGAAAAAAAGGGGAGATCTATAAATTTCTTAAATTTGATAAACACTGCATTATAGGATCAGGGTATATATGTGTTTGTACATTTTACAGGCTGATGTTCTTCACAAGTCTTTAAATACAAAAACTGCCCTGCCTTGCTTGGCATAGTCTGTTACCCAGCTTGAAGAGTGGAGATCTAGATTTGGAACAGAATGGATCACTGGATCATCTAACATAATACCTTCCTTTAACAGATGAAGAAACTGATTTGGTTAGGTGACTTGCTCAAAATCATGAAGCTTTCAATAGTAGAGCAGGTCTCCTGATGCTTTTGGATAAACCACAGCTATCTCCTGAGGTACTGTAAATATTTAATAACTGTGATTCATGTGAATGCTGGGGGGGGTTGTAGGATTATTTACCAATTCAAAATAAGATTTTGGTTTTTTTCTTATGGATTATCCAAATTTCTGTACAACTCTTTTTTAAAAGCCTAAGAAGCTGCACTAAATGCAGATTTTTTTTTGATCCAGTCATCATAAAGAACTTCATCATTGACTATTATAAGAGACAAGAAACTTGGTAAAAGAGGCCTACAAAACGAATTTCAGGTTTAAGAAAATAAGCATAACAAAACTGAACCTAAGTCTTTTCTAGCTAAAAACAACTGAAATGGTCCAAGAAATTTTCAGAATTATCTTTAAATATTTCTAAAACATAGTCAAGGGTTTATTACATTTTAAAAAGTTATTCCAGATAATACATAAGAGAAGCAAATTTATACCTTATATTCATCTTTCTTATGCAGAAATTCAGGTGCTAACTTACTAGGTAAATGCCACAAACTTAAATTATTGACAAATAATTAGAACTAAGATATTTGGATTTTCATAATCATCACATTGTATCTATCAACATGCAGAGAAAAGAGAATCTATGCCTCTCAGTTAAGATGGTAATTATCCTTTTAACAAATATTTACTAATTGCATATAATTTACAAAGTATTTTGTTATGAACTGAGGAAAATTAAAGGAATATAAAGTACAAAGTGGCAATCAGAGAACCTAATTATCTAGAAGGGGAGATACATGAATAACTGGAAGGAGGGCAACTAGGATAAAAAATGTGGTTCAGAAAGGCAAAATTGGTAAAGTATTTGTTTATACTGGAAAGATCCTAGACCTGACTGGCATGAACTGTCAGGTTACTACACAGTAGTAGGGATATCACGTTGGGTTTTCCCAGAGCTTTGGTGAAATACCCTACACTCATGCTCCAGATCATTATATTTCTGTTTCTGATCCTATACTCACAAAGCAGTCTTCTAACAAATAATTCTTCCACAGGTATCATCTTATTTAAAAGGGGGGTAGGTGACTCCAGCATTCTGATCACTGGGTTTTAGGCCACTCATGTGCATCTCAGAGGCTAATCATCTATGCCTATATTGAGATAGTCTAATATCTGGCCTGCAAGGAACAATAGCACTTTACCACCCTCAAAGCTGTAGCACTGATGAGAACTACAGTACTATAACAAAGCACTAGTGTTGAAAAAGTGCCCTGGCAAGGAGAGGAGAATCTAAAGCACATTTTGGGAAGAAGAAACTGCATTTACATTACAAAGTCATAACCTGAAAACAAAGAATATGGTTCTTCCTTTCTCCAATAGCAACCTGTTTTTCCAAAGTACTTATAAATTCAATCTTTCTATGCTTGGCTTCAGCCCACAGGTGATTCTGTATTCTAGAGTATAAACTCTTCGTAATTCCTGACAGCTGGTAGAAACAGCACTGTTTATGCCTGACAATTTAAAGACTGAAACATAAAGCTGAGCAGTTAAAGGATAACTTTTATCACCAACATAAACAATCAAGTAAGCTTTTAATTGGAGATCTTTTTTTTTTTTTTTTT